GGGGGGCGGCACGGCGCCGGCGGGACCCGGCACTGCGGGCGACCGAGCGTTTCCTCACCAGGTGCAGGCGCTAATTAAAGCTTTAGGTCTAGACGAGGTGTCTTTATTGGCCGTTACACAAAGTAGTCAGAACGCGGGGAGGCTGCGCTGGACGTATTTCTGCGAAGGAGCCCCTGGCACAGGAGAAGATGCAGTGAGAATCTTGTACGGAGCCCCCCATAAGTTGTCTCTGCGAGTTATTTCTTCTCTTTAACGTTAGTATCAAGCCATGCACGTTTTGGACCTTTCTCTAGTTGGAACTTGATCTTCACGATGCACAAGTTCATCACACAGGACGCACAGAACTGCTGGAGCTGAGCCCAAGGGGTGAAGCTCCCACTCGGAGCACGGAGCTCCGGCTACTTCAGCAGTTCATGGCTGTGTTGTGCTGTCTCCTGCAGAGCAGCACCTGGCCTGAGGTCTCTGGCACGGCTTGACATGCCTTTCCATGCCATGCTATGCCTTGCCATGCCATGCCATGCCATGCTTTTCCATGCCATGCCCCATGGCATTTCTTGAAAAATGCTTTCTCCACATCTGTAGCAGTGCTACCCCTCGCTGCTGGATCAGTAAAACTGTTGCCTGTGCTAGAAAGTTTCTATCCAAGGGAGAACAGACTGTAGCCGGAGCTGTACCAGCGCTAGGGGTGCGCACTGAGGATTGTTGCCAGGTTTTGCTTCTTGAGGCTTCTTGCAGTGACCTTCGTACTTACCGGTTACCATGTGGTGATACATTAAAAAAAAAAAAAAGACTTTGTGCAAACCTGCGCTGGGTTTCGCTTGCGGGGAGGGCAAAGGTTATTTCTGCACTTTTGCATACACGTGTTTAGGGAGCGCAGAGCAGAGCCCAACTTAAATCACAGGGGACAGGACAGAAACATAAAGAGCTGAGTAAATCTGAGCTACACTGGCACTGAAGAGTTAATTTGAGGAAAATGAGGGGTTTTTTTCTGTGTCTGCTCCGCTCTATGGTTGAATAGAAGGGGTTTTTCATTTGTTTGGTCTTTTATGTAGTGGAAGACAGTTAACTTCAGGGTTTTTTCTTTGATTCTTCAGCTCTGTCAACTTCCCTGGATATTGGGCTGAGTAACTGGAGCTTCCTATACGTCACTGTCTCCCTGTGAGTACAAACACCCTCCGGTGGGGTTTAGAAAGTGTTTTGTCGGGGCTGGTTTTGTGGCTGGGTGTGGGGCTGGCACACAGGGCCCACAATAGATTGCTGGTAGCGATGTAGAAGTGGGTGATCTGGTTCCTGGTACTGCTTTGCTGGAAAGGACTACGTTGGAGGAGACTGACAGTGTATTTTGGTCCTTACAGCTACACGATGACCAAATCCTCTGCCATTCTCTTCATCCTGCTTTTTTCACTGCTCTTCAAGCTGGAGGAATTGGTAAGGGTCCCACGCAACGCTTTAGGGAGGGAGAAGTTCAGTGCCAGGGAAACAGGCAGTACATGTCCAAGAAACATATAAGCAGAGGAAGAATGCAGTTACGTGGATGAATCTGAAAGAGAGAAGGTGTCTGTGTTCAGCTCCAGGAATCTGTAGTGACTTTGTGTTTGCTCTCATCCAGAGGGTGGCTTTGCTGCTGGTGGTTTTGCTCATCGCTGGGGGCCTCTTCATGTTCACCTACAAGTCCACACAGTTCAACGCCCAGGGTTTCGTGCTGGTGCTCTGCGCCTCTTTCCTTGGGGGTATTCGCTGGACCCTCACGCAGATCCTTATGCAGAAGGCTGACCTGGGTACGTAGGGTGTTAGGAAGTGGGTTGTGGTGCTGGCAACGGGGAGGGCAATAAGGAGGTGGTAGCTCTTGCTGCAGAAACAAAACGTCTTGTCTAAGGGAGTGTTTGAAACCCGGGGCAGGGGCTGTCGGTTGATGGGTGATGAAGGTGTCTTGGCCTCTGCAGCAGCACAGGCATGGGATTAAAAATAAGGTCTATGTCTAGGAATGGTACTAATAAAGGCTTTAGGAGCTATGTTATTCCCTGGCTTGTTGCTACCTGGTCTGTTATTGATTCTCTTCTTTCAGGGCTCCAGAACCCCATTGATATCATGTTTCATCTGCAGCCGCTCATGTTCCTGGGGCTCTTGCCACTCTTTGCCGTGTTTGAGGGTGCGTGAGTTACTTAGAGAAAGAAGGAATAGCTTTGTAGAGTGGTTGGGGAGATTGCTTAGCCGTTTGTTGTTTGAGATGGTCCATTTAGATAAGTGAACAGCTGTGAACTTTGTAGAGATCTGGAATTGTAAGGACCCAGATACACCTTATATTGGTAGAACATTAAAGACTGCCTGCCACACTTGTGGCCCTTGTGCAAGCAAGGGCCATGAAGAACTGGCTTCACATCCTCCTGGTGTTGGAATGTGAGCAGCCCACCCCCATCTTGTTGTGAGGAGTCCTGGGAGTTGGGAAAGGTACTCTGCTACTCACTGTCTTATTCCTAGGCCTGCCTTTGTCCGTATCAGAGAAGCTCTTCCGTTTCCATGAAGCAGGAACGCTGTTCTGTCTAGTAGGGAAGCTGTTCTTGGGTGGAATTCTTGCCTTTGGTCTAGGCTTTTCTGAGTTCCTCTTGGTTTCCAGAACATCTAGCCTCACCCTTTCCATTGCTGGCATTTTTAAGGTAAGGCATGGTTCCTGTGCTAATACTAGAAGGAAAGTAGTGAGTCCATCCCTAATGGTCCTCATGTGGTGGGAACTTCCTTGGAGCCTTAGAAATCATCTCTTATTATTTTTGTTCTCCTTGCATGGGAGCTTGATGCTTTGCCTTTCAGTCTCTGCACTGAAGTGCTTTGGTCCCTGACAGCAAGGGGCAGAGACTAGTGGCTATTCTTTAAAAAAATACCATTAAGGTCTGTAGTTTGGTGGGATCTGGAGCTAAAACACATGGGCCTCATGAGCAATGGATGGTGTGGGAAGGAGGAGGGGTAAGAAGGACACGCTCTTGCATCTGACCTGGATGTGAACAAACCACGGGTTTGAGCTACCTCTTTAACCTAGTTTGGCACATTGTCCCCTCCTTTGAGGAATCCCACACACCTACTTTTGAGCTGAATGGTGACAAGTGAAACTTGTCTTGTCCGCAAGTCACAGGATTCCCATGCAGCCAAATTATGCAGTCAGAGGACTTAAATTCCCACATCCCAGTTAAACAGGTCCTTCTGTTTCTGAGAACTAGAACTCTGCAGGTGGAAGAATGTGCTGATGGAAATTAGCAGCCTGGTGTCTTGACCTAGGCTTGAGCAGTGAAACGTCTCATGTGTATCTCCTCAGGTCCTGCCCTGCCACTTGTCATGTTTTTTGTTTCCACAGGAAATCTGCATTTTATTCCTCGCCACACGATTGCTGGGAGACCGCCTCAGTCTCTTGAACTGGCTGGGCTTTGCTGTCTGTCTGTCAGGAATCTCCCTTCATGTCATTCTCAAAGCCATGAATTCCAAAGGTGATTCTATTTTAAATCCCTTTTTGTTCCTCTGTAGGCATTCTCCTAGCGTCACTAGGAGCTGTGTCTAGTTCCAGCTCCTTGCCAGCGCCAGGTTTGATGGGTTCTCTGGTGAGTTTGTCACTAAAAGGGCTGTCTGCACGCAGGTGAGAACGCACTGAAGCTGCACAAAGAGCCCAGCTCCGACCCTGACCTGGAGCTGCTGCTGCGCCACACGGAACGTGGTGAGGAGGAGGAAGTTGAAACCCCACAACAACACTGACTGAACGCCAAGCACAAAGGCCCCATCTCTGTTCTTACCAAACCTGCCTGACAGCCAGCTGGGAGGAAGGTCCAAGCGTCTCTGTGACCACCCAAAGGAGAGCCAGGGCCTGGTGGGAGAGTCCTGCTGTTCCCCTACAGCGTGGATCTGTAGATGCTGCACAAGGAACAGGCAATATCCCATTCACAGAGAGCAAATTTGGAACATGAGCCCTGGTCCAGTGGAAGTAGAACTGCGTGGTGAGACTGGGAAAAGCTATAGAAAGCTTATTAGGGAATCCTGAAGGCCGTGCATTTAGCGTGTGGACCATGAGCTGTAGAACGAGCATGGACATGTCTGGACTGCAGGCTAAGCATTTCAGGGATGATTTTAGTGTTGTTGAGGCTTTGACTTCAAAAGAGAAGGTAAATATACCTTCGCATACTTCCTTTATGGTTCTGCCAGATAGGGACTCCCATCTTGGTGGAAGCAGATGATATAAATCCATAGACGTCCCAGCGAGAAGGAGCCTTTGTGCCTGGTGACCTCCCATGTTCTGTGTGCACAGTAAGGAGCGAACTAAATGCTGGTATTTGGGACCAATTGAACGTAACCAAATGATGTTGGCTGGAGGAAGCACGGGGATGCAGGAGTGCTTCTGGCCCTGCAGGCCAAGGGAAGAGAGCAGTATCATAGGAGAGCAAGCTTGAGCAATAAGCTTATCAGAAAGTATGTGGGGATTTGAGGGGGGGGGTTTGTTTTTTAAATAAACTGGTTTTCTGATTCTCTTTTGTCTGCATATTATACACCTATGCTTCATCAAGGAGAGGTCATTTGTCTTATGAATTCCTTCCTTTTAGTCCCAACACTGATCTTGCTACTGCATGCCCAATTTTGAAGCCTGGCACACAAAATACTTGCCCATGAGCAGAATCCTAGATCTCCAAGACTAGGGGGATATTCCTGTAACCTGTCATATTTGTGCTAACTGAGAGAGCATACTGACTCGTCTGCCTTCATGTGGGAATATGACACCATATCCTAAGTGTTGTGGCTTTTTGTAGGAATCTGACCTCTTTGCCCCATTGGTTTGTCTTGGGTAGTGCTGCACCTTGTCCAGGAAAGGGGAATGATGAGATTTAAGATGTGTCTTTTTCCTTTCTGCTGTGCCACAAGTGGTGTTGGGCAGGTAGCATGGCAGCATTTTTGCCTCTTTGAAAGTCTTGTTCGATGATAGTTTTTGGGGTGGAAATAACTTGATAGAGCTTCCCAGAGGAATAAGAGTGTGATCTCTCTCTGAAAAGGAACTCGGTATTAAAGTGAATTTCTCATGTTTTGTTTGAGAACCTGAACCATTTTGACTAGACTGTCCCTCTGTGGATCTTGTGTCATAGCTTTCATATATAAAGTCTTTCTTGATGACTTCAGTCAGGAGCATGTCCTACAAAAAAACTGGTTCTGAAGAAGAAAACTTTTGTTAATGATGAACATCTTTAATGATGTTCTAATAGAGACTGGTAACTGGCTTCGGAGCAGACAGCAGGTGGTGCAGCTACCTCATGCAAAGCTACTGAACCAGCAGTTCCAGGCCAGACTGGCCCAACAAGGGATCTTGTGCATCAGGTAGGAATCCTGGAGCTGAGAATGGCTTGGTCTGTCCCTAACTGGGTTTTTCAATAGCTGGGACTTGGGATGCTTCCAACAGGATTTACCCTACGGTAGGTGTAAGCCCCAAGCACTAAAATCTTGTGCTTGATGTGGGGCAGTGATGCTTTCTGCACGGGATCTGGGTTTAGCAATACCTCAGCTGCTTTTTGCATTTCACTTTTCACCCTCCTGGAACTGAACCTTGGGCATCCTTCTACAGTGGAACTCTCAGGCTGGGATTTTAAGTCCCTGTACATCCAAGGTAAAGGTGGCTTTGTTCACAGTCCCCGAAAATTGTGTTCTTTCAGAGATAAGAGAACCCTCATTTGAGGCATGGAAAAATTTGTGTGATAACTCATCAGAGAGAGAAGACACAAGCCCCTGGGTGGGCATAATTAGAAAATGGAATCTCCTCTTGAGCCCTGGTGGCTTTGGGAGTCTTCTAGTGCTAGGAGTCTTCAAGTCACCTTGCATGTGATTTAGCCACTGGATCTCAGTTCCTTTAGCTTCTACTTGAACAGCTAGGTCAAGAATTGTGTGACAGGCAGAGGTCCATCTGTGTACTAGCCTTGAGCTCATGGGCTGCCCCAAACGTGCTACAAAAAGGTGAGAATAGACACTGTTTACCCCTCAGCACCTCATTCCACAAGTGACCAAAGCAGGAATGCTAACAAAGCCGTGTGCCCACCAGGAATGCTAAACATGTGCCCAGCTCTGCATTAAAGATGTGGTCCTGCCCTTTGGTTGAAGAGAGGATCTTCTTGGAGTCCTATGGGGAACCAGGCAGCTTGACCAACTTTGAGGGTCTACTGAGGCCTCTCTTCTGCAGCTGGGGGTTCTTTTAGCATCTGTGTATCAGCGTGTTTGTCTGATGTGCAACAGTCCTGCATCTAAATTGCTTTCTCTAGCCTGGAACATGCCTGCTGAGCTCTCTGTGCACCTACCTTCATGTGCTCCCAGCCACGTGTGCAGGCGTAGCTGTAGATCTGTGATTTAAGAATGGAAATGCGCATCCTCCACTGGAGTTTCAGAGCTCCAGCGAAGAAGTTCACATTTCAAATCAGTGTAGCGTTGGGTATAAATGTCATTGCTGCAGGTGCCTGACTGGGGTTACCAAACAATCAGCAGCGAGCAGCTCTGCTTTGGTCTCTTCATCTTCCTGCCATTAACTGACCAAACAGTGGGGGCTTTTGCACTCTAAACTGTTGTTGAGTGCTTGGTGTTGCCTGGGAAACGTAGAAGGAAAATGAAAGGATTCTATTGTTTGTGGGTTTATCTTGCTTTTGTAACAGCTTCTGGTGAGAGCCTTAACTTCGCAAGGGAGGGAACATGGTGTGCATGTTCCCTGCTCCCCACAGCCCCCGTGCCAGCGCTGCTGTTCTTGATCCAAGGTTTGCTTCGCTCGCCTTTTCTTCACCTGCATCTGCTGTGTCTGTCCGCTCTGCATCCCTGCTTCAGCAGGAGCACCGCGATGGAGGGTGGACAAATCCTGTGATTTGTGGTGAGTGGAACTCCCCGCTCTCAGTGACCTGAGACCAGTTCTCCTCACAAATTTCCAGGCTCTGATTAAAGGGGGTGCAGAGGTGAGACATGACAAAACGGGGAAGCAGTGTTGGTACTCTGGGGAGATGGTCAGAGATTGACTTTACAGCAGTGAGATGCAGTTGGCCAGAGCTTTCTCAGCTCTCTTCCCTTACCCACTGCACCTCTGAGCCTTCCAGAAGCACTTCCATTCCCTGCATTTGGAAAAGTAGTAAGTTAGGGATAGAGTGGGTGTGATGAATGCTTTCCTACCACTTTCTGACCTTCCCTGCTGCTTGTTCCACTCTGCTTTTACTTTGCTGTGGCTGCAAGGCTCCTCTGGATGCCAGAGCTTCACCAGGACTCATACATTGGCTCCAGGGCTCACCTGGTGAGGACTTCTGCTGGAGAGTGTCATGTGGTGCAGGGCAGAGCACTCTGTTCTCGGCTGCTTTAGTACTTCCTCTCAGCAACCAATGTTTTAGAAACAAAGTGGAAGGACCAGCTGTATGGAGAGCCGCAGGAGAGCCTGTTTGAATCCACTGTGAAGCTGCTGGGGATTCTCTTCCATTTGAAGGGCCTGATGTTCTCCTGCATGGCCCCTTCCTGGGACTCTTGACTCCCTGGGAGCATGAGGAGTCTCAGCACTCCAGCTCTGCTGTGGAGCTCTTGGAGCAAATCTTGATTGCTTGCAGTTAGGAGGATTTTGCAGGCTCAGCTAATGCAAGCAGCGAGTTTAGTGTAGGAGGTGAGTGAGCAAAGTAAAAAGGCTTTGGCAGGGGTTCACGCAGGAACTGGCAAGAAGGGAGGGGTAAAAGCTTTGTGATTCTTTGGGAAAATGGCAGTGTTCCTCTCTAGGCAACTCCGATGGGGCATGGTGTGGGGCTGCTTTCTGTCCGTGTATTCCTTGGCTCCCTTCCCGAAAAACTTCAGGGGCTGAGGGGATGGGTCCTGGCTGAGAGGTCACTGCCTATCTCCTAGGGTCAATTCCTGGAATAGGTCTCTAAAGGAGGTTGGTGGCCCCTCATCCTCACTTGTGCTGAAACTGTAGTCCTGCCTTTAAGCTGAGTCACCCACACCTGGATGTGGGCTCGCTCAGGAGCTGGGTGGCTTCTAGGGAACATGGCAGAGCTGTGGGCAAGCTGAGGAGGGGTGAGGTGAGACTGGGGCTGGTGCAGGGTAGTGCAGCAGAGTGTTACAGAATCAGCACAGCTTGTCTGTTGAATGCTGTCCGGCTCACTTGAATGGGCACTAATGTTTAACGAAAGGAAGAAAGAACCCCTGCCCACCCTCTTTCATATAAGGAAAAAAGCCCTACTGTGCGCTGAAAATGCTGGAAAAGGGAAAAGAGGCAAGGATGAAGGACTTGAAGGAGGAGGCAGGAGTGCTGCAGCAGTGGCACGAAGGATCTTGTAGCGATAGCAGTGATGTGTGGACTGTAGGCACGGAGAGGTGGGGCTGGAGTCCACTGAGGAGGCGTACGGAGGGGGTGGTAGTGGGGAGCGGGAGCTGGGAGTACCAGTAGGATCCTGTTTGCCTCTGGAAATAACCCCAGGTGGCTCTGCAGCTCTTTGGCCTCGTCCAGAGGTGCTCAAGGCCTCTTGTCGTTGCTGAAGCTGTTTCCGACTTGGATCGATGCAGAGAGCTTGGGACTGGAAACACTGGGTAGAACTAGCCTTGCGTGCAGGCACAGGGCTGTGAGGTCTCCTGCCTTCAAGAAGGCCCTTTGTCTGTGCCACAGTGAGGTCTCCGCGGTCTTCTGAGAGGAGTGATGGAGCTCTTTGGCCATGCAGACTGTTTTCTGATGAGCCCTGAGTCAGGGGCCGCTTTATGGGGTGGGAGAAGTATTTTTCTGTGCAATCATTGTGTGGCTCAGTTTGGTTCTGTTCCCCCTTCCTCAAAGGAAGAGTGCAAAGGCTGAACTTGTGGAACCACTCCAGTGCTGGGGACACCTATGTGTGTGTACAGCAGCACAGACACACAGCCCCTTTGCTGGGGAGAGCACACACACGTGTGTCCTTACTGTGCAGCATGTTCTGTGTCCCCCACCTCCCCCCCCCAATACAAAGCCCTACACAGGAAATAGAGGGCTGTCATTGAATATTGATAGTGTTTGAACTAATTAACCAGCGGAAGCAAAGCTGAATGAGTCTCAGAGGTGCTGCACTGCCCCTGCAAACTCCGCTCTTGCCTGTAAGACCAGGTGTTTACATGTCTGCTGATTTTGCCCCCCTACCCATTCCCCTGGGAGACCCCTTGATTTGAAGAACCAGATGCTTGGCTTCCTGCTGAAACTTCAATACAGTTAATGTCCTGAGGGCAAAGAGAAGGTGTCCCTGCAGACCCCTCTGCATTCCTCCAGTCCTCTGCTCAGCACACAAGGCATCAGCAGCAAGCCCACTGTGGGAAAACCAGCCTGGCTCCCAAACACACGGGACTAGCAAGGCAGAGCAGCAACACAGGGCTGGTGCCCAGCAGTAGGGCTGCCTCAAGCTGTGCTTCATTTCTTGTTTCAGCTGAGTATTTCTCTAGTTCTTATTCTGTGGTTTGTGGTTGGTGCCTAGTGAGGTGGGGAAAGGGGGGCTCAGGGTGCAGACGGCTGGAGGGCTGGTTCCCACCCAACGGGGGGCTACGAGGGGCTCACATTCATCTGCAATCTTTGCAGTGGCAAATAATTGCCCCTAAGTCTATACCTCTGTGCTCTTATTTTTCATCATTGGGTTGTGCGGGTGTTGATGTTCACAGCCTTGGAGCTCTGCAGTCCAAGGAAGTTGAAAGCACTTTTGCGCCTCGTCTGCACCCTGTTCTTGGAAATGGCTTGCTTTTCTGGAGTCACACTAACCTGAGAGGTTCTGTGTCCTACAACTGCTTGGGGAGTCATATTTGGAGGGTTGAACTGTTTGTCTCACTTTGCATTAGGAAAGGTGATGCAGCCCAAACTGAGGTGTGTCTGGGGCTTAGGAGAGGGGTGGTGTTTATGGTGGTGTGTCCTGCTGAGGGACCAGCTGTGCTGAGCGCAATTAAACCTCCTGTGAGGAGTGTGCTCTTCCAAGAGGACAGGTAGCTGTGCCGATCGCCTCCCTTCTCCCAAACGCTGGTCTTGTTGCCAGCAGCAGGAGGTCCAAATGCTTGGCTGGGCTGTTGGCCTCCCAGGAGAGCAGTCTGTACCTGCCCTTCCTCTGGACCTCGCCAGCAGCAGCGGCTGCTGCCAGCTTCTGGCTGCTGGCCCAGGGAAAAGTAGCAGAATTGACCAGGCAATTGTTAATGAAAATCACAAGCAGGAAGATGCAGCCAAGCCCTGTAATTGCACTAATTGGAGCCATCGTCATGAACATGCTAAGAGCCGCTCTCCTGGTCTCAGCCCAGTAATTCTTCTAACCTCGTGTTTCAGCGCCTCCTCCACCGCCCTGCACAGACCCACATTCGCTGTATAAAGGGAGCTGGAAGGCTTTAATGGCCCTTGTCCTGTGGAGCTGCTGCTGTGTTTCTAGATGTGGAAGGTCTTCAGAGGAAGGCCCCAGGGAGAATGAGGTGGAGCTGGTGCCAGGTGTTGGAGACTGCTGCACAGCACTTCACTTCCAGCCTTGGATTCTCCCTCTGTGTCAGCCTTGGCCAAGCAGGAGCTTCTTGAAGTCGGAAAGTATGGGAAGGGGGAAGTAAGTGTTCAGCTGTCCTGAATGGCAGGGTCTGGGAGGGCAGCAAAGTGTGTGTTGGGAGGGGACTGTGTAGCTGATGCAGGTGGCTGACACTTTGCTGCATCCTGCCCTCTGAGTTTGGAGCTAAGAGAGTCTTTCTCCTCCTATGTTGAGTTAGAGATCAGAGAGTAATTCAGGTGAGGAGGGACCTCAGCAGCTGTCTACACAGGCAGGGCCAACTATGAGATCAGACGTGGTTGCTCAGAGCTTCATTCAGGCAGGTCTTGAAAATCTCAAGGTGGGAGACTGTGGCCTCTCTGGACCCCTACTTCGATGGTTGACTGACCTTATGAGGAAGAAGTTTCTCCTTATCTAGGCTGAACGTGTCTTTATAGTTATGCCCATCGTCTCATCCTCTGACTGAGCAGCACAGATAAGAGCCTGTCTCTGTCTTTTCAAATAACTTCCTTGTAGGTAGTAACAGATTGCTATGAGTTCCCCCTGAAACCATCTCTTCTCCAGGCTGAACAAGCCTCCCTCCCTCTGCCTTTCCTTACAGGACAAGTGCTTCAAGAAGCCCTGAGTACCTTGGTGGTCCTTTACCGAACTCCCACTAATTTGTCTGTGTCTTTCCTTTACTGGTGGCAGACACTGCACGCAGTATTGCTTCATGGGGACTAACAAGCACTGGCATAAAGGGATAGTCACTTCCCTCGAGCAGCCTTGAGGCTGTGTTCCTCTAATACGGTGTAGGATGCTGTCTTTGCTGCCAGCGTACACGATGCCCAATGTGCTCTCTACCAAGATGCCCAGGTTCTTTTCAGATGAGGAGTGGGAGAGCCAGGGATGCTCCTGGAGGCACCTGGGCAGAGAGAGCCCTATGGTGCCCCAGTACGTGTTTCAGTTTACTGACATTTACCATGGACACTGCAGGGGTGTTTCCCCCAGAGGGGGGAACTACAGCCTGTTCCTGAGTCTTCAGTGATACCGCCCAAGCTGCATGTGCTGGAGTTTGGTCTCCACAGAGAGTCTCAGCTTTGAGGTAGGTCAGGAACGAAGATCCTGAGTTCTAGAAAGCAGATTGTGGGATAAACAGGCACTAGGGGTCCCGATGATCTTGAAGGCTCTAAGCCCCCTGGGGAGGAAAGAAATGGGCTTGGTTTTAGAAGCTTCATGTGGTTTTGGAGGATTTGATTTGCAATTTTTGGTAAGTTAGGGCTGGCAGCATTGGAGCCAGGACTGACACAGGAGGGCTTGGCTGCAGAACGATAGGGTGCAGGGCTGTGTCACTGTGCTGGTAGGGCTGATGGTTGGTTATCCCGACTCTGAGACAGGCTCAGGCTGG